GCCGGCATCTTCTTCACTCGGGCGGTGCAGGTGAGGCCGTGCGCCCTGGGCCCCGCGCGGCAGGAGGGAACCCCGTAACAGAGCTCGGCGCCACAGCAGAAGGCTCTGGCGGCCGCCGTCCCTTCCCCGCTGCTTGGGCACCCTAGCCCCAACACCGCCCCTCCTTCTGCGCTGCCCAGAAGAGGGAAAGAGCCCGGGGCGGCCGGCCACACTGGCCGCACCCTCAGGGCGGCCCAGGGCCGGACACTGAGCCTGGACTCTGCCCTGCTGCCTGGTCAGGGAGGTGTCAGCCTCCACCATTGCGACCGGCCGTTGGGGTTATCCTGCTGCTCTGGCGCCCGCCCGGCCCCCAGTGGGGGCTCCGCTGAGGAGGGGAGACGGCACCAGGCGGCTCCTGCCTCCCTGCCCTTGCTCAGCAGTGACTCTGACTCCCAGCAGGCGTTTGGAGGCCTGAGTTCCAGGCCCAAGTACTCGTGCACCCTCCCCGACCCCTTCTCTGAGCCTCAGTCTCCGCACCTGTGCAATGGGCTGGTGGTACTGATTCTCTCAAGTCCCTTTTACACGCTTGGATAGTCAGCCCGGAAGCCAGGAGGGCTGGGGTTATTTCCTTTCTGCTCCATGGGAGGCCTGGGGGATGGGGAGAAGGCTGAGGTCTGGCCAGGTGCCCTCCTTGGGAAGCTGTCCAGGCAGTGATGCGGGCATTGGAATAAGTCCTATCCATTTGGGAGCATGGAGAGAAACTGAGGCAGCTTAATGTAATGATGAAGACTGGAGCCAGCTGTGGCCGTGGATGCCTCTTCTTGTGACTTTGTGGAAGGGGACTTCACTTCTCTGGGCCTTAGTTTTTCAGTCTGAAAAATGGAATTAGTAATCCCTGCCTTCCAGCATGAATGTGAGTGTCCCAGGCACTTTGCGTGAACATGGTCGCTAACGGCAAGTCACTCTTGGTGTAATGTCGTTAGTATTACACCCTTGCACCATGTGACCTTGGGCAAGTCACTTCTGTCGGAGTCTCCGTGTCCCCTTCTGTCAATCGGTTGCCACACCAGTCTGCCTCCAAGGATGGCTGCACACTTGAGGCTTGGCCTGTCATGGTGCTCTGGGAACGGGTCCTATTGTTTGTCCTTGCCCTTGTGGTTGGTTCTCTGTAGGAGCCCAGCTCCAGACAGTCCCTTGGAAGCCCATGTTTACTAGAAAGCACAGTGTCCCATTGAGGATTCATGCTCCGGAGAAGGTTTGCTGCTCCCTGTTCCAAGCCCTGCTGGTGACCCCAGCCATAGTGAGAGTGCTAGGAACCCAGAGCCCCTTGGGCAGCCCCACACCATCTGGAAGGTGGGGAATCCTCCCCAGTGTTGATATGGCAACCATTTTATCTCTTACATCTAGGAAGAACCTGATCTTCCAGTTTCCTGCTACTGTGGGGCCCTAGCACCTGACCTGGCCGTGCCTGCAGAACCTGGGGTGTGGGAAGGCTTGGACCCTGTGGCCTCACTTTGCCTGGTGGGGGCAGGCCCACTGGGTCCCCATTCTAGAGTGGGATCCAACGCCCAGGCCCCAGCCTCCAGGGTGGAGGAGGGAGCTGGGAGCTTTATAAATAGAGGCTTTCTCTGGCTCTGCACGCCCACCCCCTGCTGCTGCCATCTTGCACGAGCTGCCTTCGGACTCTGCAGGCATCAGCCTCTGAAGCGCTGGGCCCGTCCTCTTGGCAGAGGTGGAGCAGTGTGGCCAGAAGAGAGGGGCTTGAAATGTGACCTGGGCAGGAAAGCACACTCAGGGGACCTTCCTGAGGCCATTCTGCCTCAGGGTATGAGTCAGCCAGGAGGGATAGGAGTAGTGTATTATTAATGCGTGGGCAGCTCCTCTGTGTAGGTACCACCTTGCCAGGTCCCAGGACACGCTTGGTAAGCACTCAGCCCTCACCCCTATCTGGTCAGGAACTGGACCATGGCCCTGGGATAAGAATCTGGAGGCAGGATCTCCTTTGCATGGGTGATTCTAGGATGGCTTCTCAGTCCCTGAACTGTGTGCCTTGAAACTCGGGAGGGGTTTGCAGAGTTGGTCCAGATGATGTGAACAGCCCATTTAAGGGCGCCCAGGCAGGAACACCTGAGGTTTATTCGGGTCAGATGCCAGTCGGGGTGGGAGTGGGTGGTGGAAACACTAGTACTAATGCTGTTAGTAGTAACTGCAGTAATAGTAATAGTAGTGGTAGAAGTAACAGTAAAAGCCAGAGAGGCTATGGCATTGTTACCATCCGAGCCAGGCTGGCAGCAGTAGACGTGGGAGGGATGCCCAAGAGGTGGGGAAAGCCTGGTAGGACTTTGAATGTGGGTGGGGGTGTGGTGTAAGGGACAGGTGGCCAGGTGGCACCACGGGGAGTGCTGCCCTTAACCTTGCTGAGAAGAGGAGATGCTGAGGTGCACACTTAGGGTGGTTGACATGATCACCTTAATCAGATTGGCTGGTACCGTCTGGGTGAGGAGGTCCCGAGGAGCTCCTGAGAGCTGAGGAGGGACATGAGGGAGACCTTTTATTCATGATGAGGATGATCACACCACCTCACATTTATCAGGCCATGTGCTGACCATGGAACGAAGCACCTCCCAGATGTTCTGTGAGACCTGTGAGATCTGAGGTCCTGTTATCCCCATCCTCAGGGGAACTGAGGACCAGAGAGCTGACTTTGTCTCTTTGAGCCTTGGTTTCTCATCTGGAAAATGGGGCTAACGCCACCCTCTGAAGGGGCTGGGTGAGGTGAGGCCTGTTCAGGGCCTGGCTCTGGGAGGCCCCAGTTTGGGGAGTGTGAGGGGGAGGTGGAGTCCAGAGACTGAGAGGAGACCGAGAGCGGCTATAACCCTGCCCCCCCACTCCCAACTACCCCCAACTGCCCGGCCTTGCAGAGAGAAACCCAAGCCCTGTTGCATAATTGATGGCTGGCTGAGATGGCAGCCTGGCTATCGGTGGTGCCTCCCGCTCCCTGCAGCCAGAGCTGTCCTCAGCCTCCAGATGATTCATCAGTGCCAGGTCATTTGGGAAGGGCCTCCAGACCTCCAGCCCATGATGACCCTGACTCCAGCACAGTCTGCCCCTTGCTCAGCCTCAGTGGCATCTCCTGTGAAATGGGAAACTTGACCTGACTGGCCTCGGAGGACTGTTGAGGGAGTTGGCGTAAAGCACCCAGCGCAGGGTCGGGCCGCAGTTGTGATCAGCAGTGTCTGTCATTGTCAGGGCTGATCTTACTCCCAGAGGTCTTCACCTTTTTGCTGTTTGGCTGTGACCTTCCCCAGGCTGGAGAAGGCCGTGAAGATCAGAGGGGACTGGACCGGTTTTTGGTCGTTCCTAGGTGGCTCACTTGGCTTCTGCCAGCTCTGAAGGGGGAACCCTGGGACATCTTGGTCCCTTCCTGGCCTTGGGGCGGGGCTGCCGAGCTTTCTGGGTCCTGGGGGTGCCCAGCAGTTGGCTTGGGTGAGCTATCAGTGTTCATCATCCACCACACCCGGCAACCAGAGGCCAGCCATGTGGCCATCCTCTCCCCAACACACTCCCCTTCCTTCCCAGCCGGATCTCTGCCCATCAGCTCTTAACAGCATCAGCACTTGCACTGAACACTGACTCCCTGCCGGATCCTGTTCTTCATGTCTTACCCTCATCTTTCTTATTTCATTCTCACAGCCTATGAAGGAGATGCTATTACTTTTATCCCCATTTTCCAGCTAAGGAAACTGATGCTCAGAGAGGCAAAACCACTTGCCCAAGGTCACACAGCTTATTAGAGCTGAGGCTTGAATCAGGTCCCTCTGATTCTGGAACATGGGTTCCTCCCATTCACTCCCCTAGTACCCCCTTCCCCGTGGCTCCCAGCTCCCTGTGGAGCCTCCTGATGACCCCAGACCTTGCTTTGTGCCCCTTTTGTTCCCTGAGCACTTGTTACCAAGTACTCTCCTTCAGAGTCAGGCTTGGGAGGACCCTTAGTGATGGGCTCCCAGAGGTTCCCTACACCCTAAGCTGTATGCCTGATTTTGTACAAATGTGCATTTTGGGGGAGAGGGAATCTGTAGCATTCATTGGCTTTCCAAAAGGAATCCTGCCCCAAACTCTGGTCCAACCACCTCGTTTCACAGAGGAGCAAACCAAGGCCCAGGGCAGGGTTGTAACTTGATCAAGGTCACAGAGCCAGTTTCTTGACCTTGGGGCCTGAGTTCCAGCCAGTAGGGGAGGGGTTGATGAGTAGGGCAGGGGTGGTCCTCCCTTCCCCTCTTCTGAGCCCTCCACCCCTGGGCACTCCCCTCACAGTTCACAGAGGAGAAATTCGGCCAGGCTGAGAAGACCGAGCTCGATGCCAACTTTGAGAACCTTCTGGCCCGGGCAGACAGCACCAAAAACTGGACGGAGAAAATCCTGAGGCAGACAGAGGTGCTGCTGCAGCCCAACCCAAGTGAGTGCTCAAGGGGCTGGTCCTGAGCAGAGAGGGGCGGGAGGCTGCTGGCGTGGGCCAGGCTGCCGAGGGCCTGCAGGTGCGGCTGGCAGCAGGTGGGGTTTGGCTTAGACCCTCGGGGCTTGAGGCTGCTGTGGGGGCTCCCAGTTAAATAAAACAGCAGGCTCGGTGCTGGGCTCCCAGATGTGCTCTCTGGGGCCATGGAAACGCTGAGTTTTGATCAGAGGAGTCACAGAAGTGCCTGGACACTAAAACACAGTTGGGAAAAGAGGCAGGAAAAATGGGAGCCAGGTCACTGGAGATTAAGCAGCAAGGCCCAGAGGCGCAGGAGGCCTCGCCCAGAGTCACAGGAGCACAAAGCAAACAGCAGCACCTGCAGGAGACTCTGTGGGAAGAGAGGTGGCCTGGGAGTAGGTGAGTGTGTGCAGAGAGCTTTCTGGGGCCCGGCTGACCAGCTATTGTTCATTCCTGGGTTACCCTCTGTAAATCTGTATTATAATGAGGGAGCAGGTGGGGTGGGTGGGGGAGCCCGTGGGCCTTGCCTTCAGGCCCGTCACCCGCCACTGTGTGACCTCAGGCAGGCACTTCATGTCTCTGAGAAGTGGCTTCCTCCTCTCTAGAGTGAGGGGTTCCACACCATCGAGTGCCAGTCTCACAGGGCTGAAGTGGGCATCAGCGAGAGAATATTCTGGAAGTGACCAGGCTGGGTGCTCTTGTGGGCAGGCCCCGGTCTGGGTCTGTTTCTGTCACCATGGCTTTCATCCTTGAGCTCATACTGAAGAGCCCTGTGGCTCTGGCTGCCGTTTCCCCACAGGTGCCCGAGTGGAGGAGTTCCTGTATGAGAAGCTGGACAGGAAGGTGCCCTCGAGGGTCACCAACGGGGAGCTGCTGGCTCAGTACATGGCAGAGGCGGCCAGTGAGCTGGGGCCCACCACGCCCTACGGTGAGCCGGTCCCCGCAGCTGGGGTCGGGGGCCAGGGTCCCTGGTGCTGATCTTCCCCATCCCTGCTTCTTCCTTTCTCTGTTTTTTTAATTACTTATATGATACCTAGATTCATTCTACTTGTAAAAACCTCAATCAATGGAGACAAAAATGGAAGCCTTCCTCGGCCAGTTTTGGTTTGTGTGCAATTTTTTTAATGGGATCATTCAACAACCTGGTTTTTAAACTTGGCATTGCATTATAGATATGTGTTCACAGTAACATTTATAAAGCCACCTCAATCTTTGTTTTTTTCCTTATTTTTATTGAGGTGCAGTTTATATGCTATAAAATGTACCTTTTTATTGAAGTACAGTTGATTTACAATGTTGTGTTAGGTTCTGGTGTACAGCAAAGTGATTCAGTGATACACATATCCTTTCTCAGATTCTTTTTCATTATAAGTTATTACAAGATAGTGACTGTAGTTCCCTGTGCTATACAGCAGGACCTTGTTGTTTATTTTATATATAATAGTTTGTATCTGCTAATCCCAAATTCCTAATATATCCCTCCCCTTGCCTTTCTCCTTTTGGTATCTGTAAGTTTGTTTTCTATGTTTGTGAATCTGCTTCTGTTTTGTAAATAAGTTCATTTGTATCAGTTTTTAGATTCCACATATAGGTGATATGATATATTTGTCTCTCTCTGTCTGCCTGACTCAGTATGGTATTCTCTAGGTCCATCCATGTTGCTGCAAATGGCACTATTTTGTTGTTCTTTATGGCTGAGTAGTATTCTATTGTGTATGTGTGTGTGTGTATACACACACACACCAGATTTTTATCCATTCATCTGTCAATGGGCATTTAGGCTGCTTCCATGTCTTACCTATTGTAAATGATGCTGCTGTGAACACTGGGGTGCATGTATCTTTTTGAGTAGAGTTTTCTCCAGATACATACCCAGCAGTGGGATTGCTGAATCATATGGTAAGTCTATTTTTAGTTCTTTAAGGAACCTCCGTAGCATTTTCTATAGTGGCTGCACTGTTTTACATCCCCACCAGCAGTGTAGGAGGGTTTCCTTTTCTCACCACCCTTTCTAGCATTTATTGTCAGTGGACTTTTTAACGATGGCCATTCTGACAGGTGTGAGGTGATACCTCATTGTAGTTTTGATTTGCATTTCTCTGATAATTACCCATACTGAGCATTTTTTCATGTGCCTATTGGCCTAATGGCCATTAGTCTTCTTTGGAGAAATATCTATTTAGGTCTTCTGCCATTTTTTCATTGAGTTGTTTGGTTTTTTTGTTTTTGAGTTGTATGAGCTGTTTGTGTATTTTGGAAATGAATCCCTTGATCACATCATTTGGAAATATTTTCTCCCAGTCTATAGGTTGTCTTTTTGTTTTGTTTCTGGTTTCTTCTGCTGTGCAAAAGCTCGTAAGTTTGATTAGGTCCCATTTGTTTATTTTTACTTTTATTTCTATTGCCTTGGGAGACTGACTTAAGAAAACATTGCAACGATTTATGTCAGAGAATGTCTTGCCTATGTTCTCTTCTAGGAGTTTTATGGTGTCATGTGTTGTATTAAAGTCTAAACCACTTTGAATTTATTTTTGTGTATGGTGTGAGGGCGTGTTCTGACTTCATTGACTCACATTTGGCTGTCCAGCTTTCCCAGCACCTCTTGCTGAAGAGACTGTCTTCTCTGTTGTATATTCTTGCCTTGTTAGTTGCAGATTAATTGACTGTAGGTGTGTGGGTTTATTTCTGGGCTCCCTATAAAGTACATCTGTTTTAAATGTCTAATTCAGTGATTTTTTAGTAAATTTACAGGATTGTACAAACATCCCCCAATCCAATTTAAAGAACATTTCCATCACTTGCGGGAAAGTCCCTTGTGTCTGTTTAAAGTCAGTTCCCACTCCCACCTTCAGCCAACTAATGTGCTTTTGTCTTCTCTATAAACTTGATTTTCCTGAGTATTTCATATAAATGGGATCATATGATATATTGGTTTTTGCATCTGGCTTCTTTGCCTTTGAGGTTCACCCAGGTTATAGTGTGTCTTAGGGTTTCATTCCTTTTTATTGTTGAAGAGTGTTCCACTGTGTGGCTAGACCACATTTTCTTTACCCATTCACCATTTGAGAGACTTTTTGGTTGTTTCCCTGTGAACATTTGCATATAAACCTTTGTGAGGACGTTGGTCTTCACTTCTCCTGGTTATATACCTAGGAGTGGAATTGCTGAGTCACATGATACATTTCTGTTTAACGTTTTAAGAAATTGCCAAACTGTTTTGTGAAGTGGCTGTGTGATTTTACATTTTCCATCAGCAGAGTGGTGGTCAGTTTTCAGCTATTAGTGGATTTTCCAAGTTTCTTTCTGTTGATTTCTCATTTAATTTCACTGTGATCAGAGAACATACTCTGTATGATTTTAATCCTTTTAAATGTACTGGAAGACTTGTTTATGGCCTAGTATGTGGTCTCTGCTGGAGGATATTTTGTGTTCACTTGAGAAGATTGTACATTATACTATAAGGTAATGTTGTCATTTAGGCCAAATTGGTTGATAGTGTTGTTCAATTTTTCTATATCCTTGCTGATTTTGTCTTGTTTTCCTATCCATTATTAAGAGTATTGAAGTCTCCTGTTATTTCTGTTGAATTGTTTGTTTGTCTTCAGTCTGTCAGAGTTTGTGTCATTTTGGCACTCTGCTGTTAGGCCTGTATGTTTATCATTACATATCTTTCTCATGAATTGACTCTATCATTGTAAAATACTGCTCTTTGTCTCTAGTAACCCTTTTTTTGTCTTAAAGTCCACTTATCTGATAGTGGTACAGCCACTCCTTTTATGATTACTGTTTGCATAGTGTATCTTCTTCTGCCCTTTTATTTTCAACATATTTGTCTTTAAATCTAACGTATCTCTCTTATAAACAACGTATATTTGAATCTTTTTAAAAGATCCAATCTGACGATCTTTGCCTTTTTATTGAAATGTTTAATCCATTTACATTTAATGTAATTATTAATGTGGTTGGATTGCCATTTTGTTATGTGATCCGTATGTCTCATTTCTGCCTCTCTTTTACTGCCTTCTTTTGTATTAAATAGATATTTTCTAGTGTAACATTCTAATTTCTTTGTTGCTTTTTTTACTTTAAAATTTTTTCTTAGTGGTTTTATAATATGAATTACAATATGCATTTTAACATAATGTAATCTATTTCACAGCAATACTAACTGAATTCTGATAAAATATAGAAACTTTGTTCCAGTAAAACTCCCATTTCCTTCCTCTTCCTTTGGGCCATGATTGTTATACAGGCTACCTCAACAATACAGTTTTATAATTGTTGTTTTTTGTAATTATCTTTTAAATTGGTTAAGAAAAGAGAAAAAGTTTTATATTATATTTTATATTTGCCTATATAATTACTTTTATGGGTGCTGGTATTTCTTCATGTGGATTCAAGTTACCATCTGGTGTTATTTTGCTTGAACCTGACGTATTTCTTCTATGGCAGGTCTGCCAGCAGTGTATTCTTTCAGCCCTTGTTTATCTGGGAATGTATTTTGTGTTCACTTCTGGAGGACAGTTTTGCTGTGTATAGAATTCCCAGATGAGAATTTTTTCCTTTCATCATTTTGAATATATCCTCTCACTGTCTGGCCTCCATTGTTTCCGATAAGAAGTCATTTGTTAATCTTATTGTGGCTTCTCTGTACTTCCTTTCATACTTTCCAGCCCTTTTTGTCTTTGTCTTTCAACAGTTTGACTTAGATGTCCTGGCTGTGGATCCCTTTTTGTTTATCCTATTTTGAATTTGTTTAGTTCCATGGATATGTAGATTAATGTTTTTAAAATCAAATTCAGGATATTTTTGGCTATTATTTCTTCAAATATTTTTTCTGCCCTTTTCTCTCTTCTCCTGGGACTCCCATTACTCATGTTGGTTTGTTTGATGGTGTGCCGCAGGTCTCTGAGGCTCTGTTGATTTTTATTCACTCATTTTTCCTTCTGTTCTTTAGATTAGATAATCTTTGTTGACCAACTGCAAAGTTGCTGCTTTTCCCTTCTGCCAGCTCAAATGTGCTCTTGAGCCCTTCTAGTGATTTTTTTCACATCAGTTATTGTACTTTTCAACTATAGAATTTTCATTTCTTTTTTATAATTTTAATCTCTTTATTGACATTATTTGACAAGTCGCTGTCATCATACTTTCCTTTAAGCCTTTAAACATGGTTTCTATTAGTTGTGTGGCTTTTTTTTTTTTTTTTTTGGTGAGGGGAGGGAGGTAATTGGGTCTATTTATTTATTAATTTTTAGAGGAGGTAGTGGGGATTGAACCCAGGACCTTGTGCTTGCTAAGTATTCGCTCTACCACTTGAGCTGTACCAGCCCCTCAGGTATGTTTTTTTAATTGAAGTGTAGTTGATATACAATATGTGTTAGTTTCAGGTGTACAGCATCGTGATTCAATATTTTTGTAGATTATATTCCACTATAGGTTATTGCAAGATAATGTATAATTTCCTATACTATATAGTATATCCTTATTGCTTATCTATTTTATATATGGTATTTTGTATCTGTTAATCCCATACCCCTAATTTGTCCCTCTCCCCCATTAGGATGTTTTTTTTTTTCACATATCTGTAATGACTGCTTATAAGTCTTTGTCTTCTATGTCTAATATCTGGGCCTCCTTGGGGGCAGTGTCCACTGACTGCTCTTTTCCTCCTGTGTGTTGACTTCACTTTCCTGTTTGTTTTCATGTCTCATAATTTTGGTTAACTTATTATTGCTGTTTGTTTGTTTTATGACTTGCCTGAGCTAATTGTTTAGAGTTGATGTTATCTGCGGTATGCAGCTACTGATGTCTCTGCTTATTTTTCTTTTTAAATTATTCTTTTTATTTTTAAGCCTAACTTTCTTGGGGTTGCTTCCAGATCAGCCTATGTTAGTGGTTGTGCTTAAACATCTTGCACCATTAAGGCTTTACTGATGAATTTGTGAGTGGACTGGGAAACACACTCAAAGTCCAGGCAGTTTGCTTGTCTGCCCAGCTTTTACTTTGTGCCTGTGCAAAGCCTCCCACTAGCTAGGGGTGAGTTAACAGCTGGGATTCTCTCCAGTCTCTCCTGAGGGTGCTACACACACACACATAGCCTTCCAGAGCACCACAGATGTCTGGAGTTTATCAAGGCCCACCATGACAGTCTCATTTCCCAGATCTCCTGTTATATTTTTAGCAGGTCTGTTACTTGTTCTCACCAGTATTCCAACTTCATCTTTGCCATGATGTTGGCCTTTCCTGACTATCTGCTGTTGAGATCATTATTGTTTGTCATGTGTCCTGTGGATTTTTCTGGGTTTAGCCCAAATCAAGTCAGCCCCCTCCAGCGACCTCAGGGCTTGCCCCACTCAGGTGGGGTCACAGCACTGTGGGGCTTGAGGAGATGGGAGCACCCCAGACTAAAAAGCCACAGACTCTATTGTTCTTATCCAGGTCCAGTAGTCCTTGAACAAATGCTTCTCAGTTTTTTATTTGCCTTTGGTCAATTTTCAGAGTCTGGAAATGGTTGTTTTTGACAACTGTGTCCAGTTTTATTACTGCCTTTTTTGTTTTTAATGGCTTTTAGGGAGAGGATTTGTGGAGCTCTTTCCTTTGTCATTCTGAAAGTCCCACCCCTCATCTTTCTAATGGCTATGTAGTGTTCCATTTTTTGGATGTCCCGCTGTCAGTCCCCAGTCGATGGCTCTGTTGAGTTTCCATGTTTTTCCAGGCTGGCTATTCTGCTCTTGCCTCTCAGAGCATCTCTTTCTGGGCTCCCTCCTACTTCCTGGGGGTCAGAGAGGCCTGAGCCTGACCCTTTTCCTCACCCTTCCACACTGTTTTCTTAGGGAAGACACTGATTAAGGTGGCAGAAGCAGAAAAGCGCCTGGGAGCCGCAGAGAGAGATTTTATCCACATGGCTTCCATCAACTTCCTCACGCCCCTGCGCAACTTCCTGGAAGGGGACTGGAAGACGATTTCGGTGAGGGGACCGGGGACCAGGGCTACTCGCTTCCTTGTAACCATGGCAGCCCTCTCCTCAGAGATGCTGAGCCCAGGCTGTCCTCCTGTGTTGGAACTCAGTGCTCCTGGGGCCTCCCCAGACATGGCTCTTGTGGACTCAGTGGCCTGGAGTGGGTGACCTCCCCTGTCTGGGCCTCAGTTTCTCTGTCTTGACCAGATGGCCCGATGGGCCGGTCCTGCCATGGCCAGGGGTCTCCCAGGGCTGCCCAGGTCTCACTGTTCCCTGTTCCTGCCCCACAGAAGGAGAGGCGACTCCTTCAAAACCGGCGTCTAGACTTGGATGCCTGCAAAGCCCGGCTGAAGAAGGCCAAGGCTGCAGAAGCCAAAGCCACGGTAGGTGTCCTGGTGACTTCCCACCCCCCTGGCCCCAGTTGGAGCCGAGGAAGGGGTGAAGGGACTTGGTGTTTGGCATGACCTCTCTCCCCATCCCTGCCTGGAGAGGCCTGGCTGGGGGGCACTGCTCTGGGCTGACCACTTCCAGTCAGCCTCTCTGCCTGCACCCCTGATGGAACCCTGGTGGCCCAGAGCACTGGGTCCCAGGTCAGACGTTGATGGGGTGGGTGGACCTGCAGTGCCCCGACCTGGGCTCAGGGCAGCCCACAGCCTCCCCAGACAGACAGCCAGTTGGCTTCTTGCATGCCCCTGCCCTGCCCTCCCTGGGTGCTCGGCTCTGTTCCCGGCTCTGCCCGGGCATGGCTCCCCTACTAACTCCCCACCTGCTGCTCCAGCACTGGTCCTAGGGCGCCCTATGCTCAGGCTCCCCTGTGGTGATGTGGAGAGCCCCAGAGCCAGACCACGTGCCTACCCAGGGGCATGTCTGGGGAACCCCACCCAGGGAACCCAACATTGGATAGGGCCTGGGCTGTCTTGGGTCCCCCTTCACTCTCAGCTCACCAAGACCTGTTCAGCCTGGCCAGGCTGATGGGACATAGCATGGAACAGTTTGACCAGGACTAGGCCAGGGTTGGGAGAGCTGGGCCTCAGGGTGACCAGGCTGCTTGGGGTACAGGGGCCTAAAAGCCACCTCATAACTTGGAGAGGGAACCCCCAGGTCAGGCCCAGGGCACACCAGAGAAACTGCCACCTGTGCCTGCCTGGGACCCAACCAAGGAAGGCGAGGCCCAGCCCAGCTGCCCCTGAGACTTCCAGCCCCAAACCCTCCTTGAGTTCCCCTCTCATAGTGTGGCCACCTGGGGTCGTGGAGCCTGGGTCTGCCCTGCCTCTGGCGAGAGCCGTGGACAAGATCTCAGCTTGTCCATTTGTGTGGGGTCCAGGTTGGAGGCAGGGGCTCGGCCACTGGAGTCTTGTTGGGGTTGAGTAGGATAACCTATGGCTATCTGAGTCACCTGGACAGGACAGTCTCCCTGTCACTCAGGGATGGACAACCTCTCTGGAGTAACTTGGCCAGGACAAGCTCTTCCTCCATCAGCCAGGCCAGGGGGGCCTTTCCTTAGTCACCAGAGTGGCACAACCTCTTCTCCAGTTGTTTGGCCCAGACAACCTCCAGCCTTTGGCTTAGGCAGGACGCCCTCTCCTGAGCTGGGCCCTGGCAGCCCAGGTATAGCATCCCCGAGGACTCAGGCCCAGCGGCTCACTCCCTCCTTCCTACCTCTCTAAACAACACGCACGCACGCACGCCCGCGCGCACACACACACAAACTAAACAACACGCACGCACGCACGCCCGCGGGCACACACACACACACACACACACGTCAGGACTCCTTCCAGAGGGCGGGGTGTGCGCATCCCCTCCTGCTGTGGCTGGGGGGCCTGCTCCCGCCTGCGCTGTGGACTCACTAACTCTTTGTTTTTGTTCCTTTCTGTTCTGCTTTGGGTAACTTGGCTCAGTGTGAGGGAGATGTGAGTATACCTGTGCCATGTGCTGTGCTGCTTCTGGTTTGCCCATCGTGGCCTTGGGCCCATGGTGCCGGGCCGGCCCTGGGACGTCCTTGGGCGTTTTGCAAGCAGCTGGTCGCCCCACCGGAGCCTCTACCATGTGTAGCCTCTGGTTGGAGGGGACACCAGGCATTGGAGCCTGTGAGTCAGCTTTTTGCAAATGTTGAAAGCCTGTCACTCTGTCCATCCATGCATCCATCTGTCCATCCTCATTGTGGGGGAGGGGCCCAGTCCCTGCTGCAGGAAAGAGATGTGCGGAGATTCTGGATGGAGAAAGCCAGGGGGGTGGCTTTGTTTGGAGGATTGTGGGTCTAACTGGGGAATCTGAGTGAGACAGGGGTCCAGGGAGGAGGGGCCATGACTGCTGGGCCCCGGGGCCAGACCCGGTCTGTGGCTTGCCAGAGGTCAGGGGTATGACAGCAGCCGCAGGCTGTCTCCTCGTCGCATCTGTTCTCCTGGGCTCCCCAGCGTGTCCACCCACTTGGTCTTTGTCTCGACTCTCTGAGTCCCTAAGCCCGCCTCCTCTCCAGGTGGTTGGCCTGGGGAGAAGGGGGTCCGTATTGTGTTTGTCTGTAGCCTCCTGTCCCTGGGCCAGGGGCTCCTGGCATCTCCCTGTGGGAGACTCTAGGGCGGCCTCCTGTCCCTGGCCCGGCCCAGTGTGACTCCCCTCCTCCCATGAACTCTTCCCTGCCAGACGGTGCCTGACTTTCAGGAGACTAGACCGCGTAATTACATTCTCTCGGCCAGCGCCTCCGCGGTAAGCGCCCCCACCCCACCCGGCCTCCCCCCACCCTCCCACACCCAGGGCCTGGTGCACAGCAAACTGGAGCCAGAGGGTAAGGCAGGGGCGCTGCGCTCCGGGTCACACCAGGTCCTGCAAGTCCTGAGAGGCCAGGGGAGGGAGCAGCTCCCCCCACTCCGCCCCCTTACCCGGGGCTGCCCGCCCACCCGTGCCACATGCCCCCTCTCCACGCCGCTGGCCTTGGCCTTGCTCCTCCCTGCACAGCACTGAAGGTGAGCCTGGCCCACTGCCCTCAACAGCATGGGGGACTTAGGATGGCAGCTGCCCCATCTCCAGGGGACCTGAGAGTCTGCCCGCCCGGACCCCTGCTAAAGCAGACACTGCCCCACCCCCACTCACCATCCACTGGTGCGGGAGGAGGCTGAGCCTGGCCTTCCACGAGTTCACAGACCCCTCGACGGGGTTGGACAGCGCTGGCCATCCAGCTGCCTCCATAGCACATCTGCTAGGTGTCCAGGGAGCGCTAGGAGGCCTCGAGAATGAGCAGGGAGGGTGGGCGGGCGTTGAGGGTGGAAGGAGCAGCTTGGGCCAAGGCCCAGAGGTTTAAGAACAGGATATGTCCTGAGCTGGACACAGGCTGAGCCCTTGAGGGCAGGGCGGGGGGCCGCGGGATGGGCGGGGCTGGATCAGGAAGACTTTGAATGTCTTGGTATCTTTTTTCCCCTACAGCTCTGTTGAGATGTGTGGTATTTACTGTTCAGTTTGGGAAATAGGCAAATCACACCTCTCCCATCATGCCTTTCACAACCACTGCTGTGCCTTTTTCTGCCTCTCTGTCCCTCCCTCCCCCCTATGGGTGACATCCTCCCGCACAGACCCTCTGGCTCTCCATCTGTCATCAGCATGTCACCGCGTGTACTCATGGAGTCCTTCGTCCCTTGGGGGCGTGAACCGCAGTCTAGTCTGCAGGGCCCTGTGGCTGGGGCTCTGACGTGTGTACACGTGGAGGTTGCTTCCCGTGTTGCGATTTTCTAAACGGCACTGAGGTGGGACATCTCTGTCCACAGGGCTGGCCTTGTTTTGCTTCCCGCATTTCAGGTCACATCTCAGGGTAGCTTTCCCACAGCGGGCAGGAGAAACGGGTCTCCTAAGCCGTGGGGTGGGGAGGGGGGTCTTTCTTCTTTAGACTCTGGATGACACTTCCTGCCCCCCTTCCTGGGCCGAGTGGAAGGAGACATATCCTGGAGGGTGGAGACCGCCCTGTTTTTTCTTTTGCCATTGAACCCCAGTGTGACTCGGGCACGAGGCTGCCTTTCTCTACCGAAGGACAGAAAGGTTCAGTGACTGGCCCAGGGTCACAGGGTCCTGCCTCCCAGCCCACCAGCCTTAGCCAAGTGTCAGGGTGGGGCGGGGGACGCTCGCTCGGTCTCCCTTGAGAACCAGTCAGAGCCTGGGGGCTTACTCTGTAGGAGAAGCCCAAGCAGGACTTCCCAGCCGGCTGTCCCCCCTCCCTGCATGCGGCATGTTGGACTGGATGGACTCTGACGCCAGTGCCCCCTCACACCAGGCCTCGCCTCAGCCTCAGCTCCTGGTTGGGTTGTGGGGAGGGAGCTGGGAAGGGTGTGGGCAGGAAGCGGTTGGGTCTCAGGGAGCTGGGGCAGGGCACGGGCTCTGGGGTTCAGCTACCCCCCCCACCGCTGACCGGTGCGCCCTCCCTCCCCCGCTGACCCGTCCTGTTGTGGTCTCCGCAGCTCTGGAATGATGAGGTGGACAAGGTGAGTCAGGGCTTGGGGAAGAGGCGTGGAAGGGGTGGGGGACAGGAGTCCAGCACGCCACTGGCTGCTGTCAGAGCAGGTCTGCCCTGCCCTGTAGGTGTTGTCACTTCCCCTCTGCCCTGTGGCACACAGTGGGCCCTCCGGAGGTGACTGTTGGTTGGATTTTCCCCTGATGGGTGGTCACGTCAGATGGGCAAGTGAATGAGTATGAAAGGCCAAGCAGAGCACCAGGGTCTGCACCCCCAGGGGGAAGTGACATCTGCCAGCCAAGGGGAGGGGAGGCCACTCCCGGGCGGGCCTGGGGGCGCAGGAGAAGGCCGATGGGAGGGAAACTGGGGCAAGTCTTGCTCTCACTCATACTCTGCCCCTCCCAGGCCGAGCAGGAGCTCCGAGTGGCCCAGACAGAGTTTGACCGGCAGGCAGAGGTGACCCGTCTCCTACTGGAGGGGATTAGTAGCACTCACGTGAGTCCCACCCCCACTTCCTCCTTCTGTCCTCCCCTGTCCCTTTGCTACCCAGCACATCCCCACTAAACTAGTCCATACTGAAGCGGCGAGGGGCCTGGATCTCAGAGGCACGTGGAAAAGGACAGCGCTTGAGCCCGTGGTCCGTAAGAGCGAGTCCCAAAGGGTGGGTACCTCCCTCCAACGCCAGGGAGCAAGAGGCTTGGGCAGAAGATGCTGGAATGCTGGGTCAGGGACTGGCAGAGGACAGGGTGGGGAACAGGACGTTTTACCCCTTGCCTCCCATCAGCTGTGGGCCTCTATCTGCAGGTGAATCACCTTCGCTGCCTCCATGAGTTCGTTGAGTCTCAGACAACTTACTATGCCCAGTGCTACCGCCACATGCTGGACCTGCAGAAGCAGCTGGGCAGGTGCCCACTGGGGTCCCCTGGCCCCTGACCCCAACTTCCCTGAGCTCAGAAAGCCCTGTGACACACAGGGCGGGGTGGAGGGCTGCCATCAGTGGTGGGGCATCACACCCCTCTCTAGGCCTGGCATCTGGTCAGGATGACAGTGAGGTGGCTGGCCTTGGGGACCTCTAGGCAGTTTGTTGGGAATGTGTGGGGTCGGGAGGGAGGCAGGGACGGCGGGAGCATCTCACTTTTCCTCTTGCTTCCCTCTTTCTTTCATGCTGCCAGCTCCCAGGGAGCCATGTAAGTAGCGGGGCCTCCTTGCTTCCACAGCTGTGGGCCCAGTTGACCACCACGGGGGCCTCTCCTGGGGATGTGGCTCCCGGCTACTGAGATGCACCCCCCCATTCTCCTCTGCAGATTTCCAGGCACCTTCGTGGGCACCACAGAACCCGCCTCCCCGCCCCTCAGCAGCACGTCGCCCACCACCACTGCAGCCACTATGCCTGTGGGGCCCTCCGTGGCCGGCCTGGCCCCTCCAGGGGAGGCCGCCCTCCGCCTGGAGGAGGTGGCCCCTCCTGCCAGTGGGACCCGGAAGGCCCGCGTGCTCTACGACTACGAAGCAGCTGACAGCAGCGAGCTGGCCCTGCTGGCTGATGAGGTGGGCCTGGGTGCCACCAGGATGGCGGGAAAGGGCTGGCTGAGGAGCACCAGGGAACCGGAACTGGGAACGCTGGGCCTGCAGACCCTACAGCGCCGGCTTGAAGTCTCTGACGGGCCCTGTGGGTAGAGCTGGGACCAGCGGGGTGGGCGGCAGCAGCTCCAGCTCTGAGGAAGCGGCCTCTGTAATGTTAGTGTGGAGCAGCTGTGGAGGTGAGCGCCCGCCTCTGGAGGGGCAGGTGCCCCAGCAGACAGGGAGGATGAAACGTCTGTCCCCTTAGCCCACGGGCCAGTTCTGCCCGCCCAAGGCGTGACCCTCCTTCTGCCCTCCTCTTCAGCTCATCACCGTCTACAGCCTGCCTGGCATGGACCCTGACTGGCTCATTGGCGAGAGAGGCAACAAGAAGGGCAAGGTCCCCGTCACCTACTTGGAACTGCTCAGCTAAGCAGGCCCCCTCCCAGACCCTGCCCGTTCCGGCCTGGGCAGGAGAGGACGGGTGCAGCCCTGCCACTAGTCTTGTCTGTTGGTGACCCAGCTGCTCAGGGTGGGGAGACGAACCCCATCCCGTCCTGCTGTGAGGGGCCCCAGAGGCTGAATGATCCTGGCCCCTCCCCCAGCCCTGCTTTTGACCTGGTTCTGGAGCCCCCAACCCTGCCTGCGTCCCTGAGCGCCCCAGCCCTCCCGGCTTCTCCTAAGGAGGGAGGGGCTGGCTGCAGCAGCTGCACTCAGCGCCTTGGCCTGTGGGGGTCAGTGCAGACGGCCTGAGGAAGCCCTGGGGTGCACCCTTGGCAAGAGAGCACCTGCCTTTTAGTTGCCAAAAGCAGCGAAGGGGAAAAGGCAGGCAGGTCTGTGGCAGGCCCGGGGACTGGGTGCTGGCCCCTCTGGATGAGCTGGAGCGGAGGGCAGCCTGGCCAGAGAGGCAGGGCCAGGCTACGGAGCGGCATCTCCCCGGTGCTACCCTTCCCTTCCCGCCCCTACAGCTCAAGCCAAGTACGGTGGCTGCAGCCTGCACCTCTTCACACACTCACTTTTTAACTGATCTTTTTACTCTGCCTGTCTGCTTGCTCTCTGGCCGGTGACAAATAAACCATCCTTCGTGTGCATGCTGCCTGGGCTCTGGTTGGGTCGCAGGCCTCACAGGTGGGAAAGGGGAAGAGGAGATGTCACATCTGCACCATCCCTCCTTTGCGGGGAGTGGGTGATGTACAGGGAGAGCAACGGGTCCTGCTGTGGGCGCCTCGCAGAAACACGAGGGCAGAGGAGCCCTTTAGAGCAAGCAAGTGCGTCCTTCCCAGCCCTCCCTGCCTCCTACGGCGCCTGTGCAGCTCAGGAGGGAGTACCGGTCCTGTACTGAAGCCGCATGATCGATGTTCTACTCCTAAGAAAGACTTTCGTAAATTCAGGCAGAGTGGAGTAGACTGGAAAACTTGCATGACGGTTTAAGCTTGCGTAACGGACAGCTGACAGTGCTTCCTGTGAGCCAGCACTGACCAGGGACATTCACACGTGTTCTCGTGTGGTCCTCACAGATGAGGGAAGAGATCAGAAAGACAGTCACCTCCTCAAGGTTCCATTACTGGCAAGTGGCCATGCAGGGACTCTAGCCCAGGTCAGTCTCATTCTAGAAATTTTAAGGGGTAGCTTTGGACTACAAGCCAGGTTTAAATTAAGGCTCGTAGCCGGACTCAAGAACTCTGTGATTAGGTCGCAAGGAGGTTAAAGGCTGGTGGGCCCACAGCTGGGGCTTCTGAAGGGGAGGGGGAGGCACAGCGCCCTAAAACAGAAGGAGCGGAGATTCGGGAAAGGGCACAGTCAGCGATAAGCTCAGCCAGCTGGTAGATGGAAGTGTGTGGCGGGGGTCGGGGGACAGGGCCTGGGCGGGCCAAGGAAAGGAAAACGTGAGTGTCCACCCAGCAGCCCCCGAGCCTGGGACATTAACAGAGAGATGTTAGTGAGTCAACCATCAATAAACACCCTGCCTTCCCTAAACCTCTGCTCCACTCCGGGCCCCTGGCCGAGGGAGACAGTTCGATGCTGAGAGCTGACTAGTGCCTCTCAGGCTTTGAAAGCACATCCCACACAGCTGTCTATAAACAGTATTTTAATATTTGTATAAATAGACCACAGTATTACCAAAAACTGCAAGAACAGAGCATGGAAAACAGATTCTCAAACCCGTGCACACAGCCTCTCCTGGCTGCACGAGACTGGCTCCCCGTCTCTCCCTGGGCCAGAGTCAAGTGCTTTGGGGAACGCCTGAAGGGAAGGAGTACACCTCTTCGGGGCATTCTCAACGCGAGTGCAGCAGACTCGTGGCTCCCCACCCTGCTGTTGACCTTTTGATCTATTACAAAAATAATGTCGGGGCGGTGGGAATCGTGACTACTCTGGGAGAGTGACAGGAGCTACTCTCTGCCCCAGATGGGGCCCAGCAGGCCTGCAGCACCCCGCTGCCCGGCGCTGCTGTGCGGGCTGGTGGACAGTGGAAGGTGAGCGGCAGGCCGCTATCCTATCTTTGCACGTGTCGGACAAAGGCCTGCACCAACTGGATCAGAGGCTCCTGACTCTCGGGGCTGGCCTTGGAGAGAGAAGAGGACTTGCCCTGAGGTGAGGGGAGGACGCCAGCAGCAGGAGAGCTGGGGGCTCCTCGGCGGAAGTAGCGCGAGAGGCTGGAGAGCAGCGTGCTCTGCGAGAGAAGCAGCACCTGATGAGCCTGGTGCCCCCACCCCCCCCAGGGCTGTCCTCAGGGCCCCCGGCTCTGCCCCTCCTACCAACTCCGAGCTGAGCTCCTGCTTCATCCGCTGCTTGTCCCGAGGGTGCACAGCCGGGTCCCTAAGGTAACGCATTGCCTGGGAGATGAGCAGGTAAAAGCAGTTCTCCATGGTGAACATCAGGAGGGACCTGCAGAGGGCGGGTTTGGATACGGCTGCAGAGGGTCAAGCTGGCAGTGGGGGGGCGCTGCTGAGCCAAGAGAACAGCCAACCCAAGACCACCCCAACCCGCATTCCAGAAGGAGGGCTTTCTTACTTCAGTGTTCTGGCCCCTTCCACCTGTGTGCTGAGCCCCACTGCCTGGGTGAACGGCTCCTTTTTTTTGTCCAGCTGGAGGAAGAGAAATAAGTGGTTAAAAAAATAAGGTAACAGCACCAGATCCAACACACTGAGAGCTTCCTACTTTGCAGATCCTACGCTAAGCAGTTTTATCAGTTCCCTCATTTAACCCTCACAATAATCCCTACAGGTAAGCACCATCATACTGCATGAAGAGAAACAGGCTCAGAGAGGCTACATAAATGTGCCCAAGGTCGTGGTCAGGAAGTGGTAAACTGGGAGGGAAACATGGGTTGAGGGGCCAGACAACACCAACTTACCTCTCCAAGCATGTTTAGGGCCACATTCACTGTGGCCAGAAGGGTTCCGAAGGAGGGGGCCACTTCAGAGTCAAAGGTGGGAGTGGTGAAGTTCAGGGCAAACAGGAAGTTGTATTCAGCGAGGTCCAGGGACTGCAAGGCAAAGCAAGAGCGATGTAGGGCCCAGCAGGACCCCAGGCAGCTCTTCGTGCACAGCAGAGCCTTGGCGGCTCTGCTGGGAGGTTGGTGGCACAGCGGCTGGTACCTGATCCAGCAGGATCTGACAGACGTCCGGGGTGAAGTGGCGCAGGGCTGCCAGGGTCCTGCTGAGGATCTTGAGGAGGCCGTACTGGACCGTGTGCAGGGCTCGCTGCTCTGAAGCCTGTGTATCTGGACTGGGCTGCTTGGAGGAGGAGGAGCAGGAGGGAGCAGCCAGGGCGGCTGTGGGTGGCCGCTGAGCTCGGGGGCCAACAGCTGAAGGGATGCCCTCCCCGTTTTTGTTCTGGGGAGAGACAAGAGATGGATGGAGCCCAGAGAAACCAGGGTGAAGCAGACCGGGCAGCCGCAGCGGGCAGGGGCTCAGTTACCTGCAAGTAGTGCTGCAGCATCTTGCGGCTGTGCAGGAGGGAGGTGCAGGCCTGGCACAGGTAGCCCAGGTTTACCTGGAGCAAACCCAGGGGAGGGTGAGGGAGAGCCTCGTGGCAGCAGCACAGCCAACTGACGATCTTCCAACCAAGCGGGGCTCTACACGCTGACAGCGCGTGTGTCCTGCCCCCTGAGCACCCAGCAGTGCTCGCTCCCACACTCTCTGAACTCAGAATCGTCAGCAAGCACGCTCACTGGCAAACTCGGGGTCAGCAGATGCCGGGACTGTTTCCCGGGGACCCAGCCACATCTGGGCATGGTATAAGGTCCCATGTAAATAAGTGAGGACTATGTTCCCATTTTACAAAAGAAGAAAAAGGCTTAGAGGTAAAATGACTTAGCCAAGGTCACTCAACAGGCAAATGATCAGCCTGTCTGACTCCAGAGCCCATGTTCTTTCCTTGCCCCCACCTCAGGCTGGTTCCCAGCTTCAAGCCTGTCTGTTTCTAAGGGATGTCGGACAGAGCCCAGGGGCTTACCCTACGAGGCTGCCCTATGCTGTGGAGGGAAAACTTGGCTCCAAAGAAAGCAATGTGAAACCGAACCCTGTGCTACCTAAGCAAAAAGCCCATGTCCCAGGAACAGGCCTGCCATCCACTCACCACTCTGTCCCCTAGCATTTCCCCAGACCCTCCAGGAAACTGTGTCTGAGGCCCCACCTGGACGTCTCTCATGAGCTGAGGCAGGTGGAAGTGCCACTCCTTCCGGAAGCTGGACAGCTGCAGGATGAAGCCCACGGTGTGATCCGCCTCCTCCAGGCATGCCAGACTCTGCACCGTCCTCACCGCATTGAGGCACTGGGAGGGGGAACACAGGGACCTGCCTTACCTGTTCCTGCCCTCCTGGGGAAGGATAGGTCCTGGGCTGACAAACGCTTAGGTGGCGGCACAACAGGTGGCTTGGCGTTACGACTGAGAGGTTTCTGTCTGAGCTGATCCCAGACCCTTCCCCTCACTCAGCAGGGCAGCCCGCCGCTTAGCCTGTCAGCCAGCAGTGCTTACAGCACCTCAGAAATGTGAGCACCAACACCCCCCCCCCGCCAAGCCTCAGCCCTAAATGGCCCAGACACCCTTGAACCCTGAGCCCCGAACTCTAAGATGCTGGCAGTCCCTCACCTGTAAGGTCCGCTCCTGATGAACACCCACGAAGTCCAGGGCCTCCATCAGGAAATTGTAGCGCAGAGTTTTGAGGAGCCGTTCCATTAAAGACATGGACAGGCGGTAGACCCCCGGCCAAGAGGGGGCGTCCAGGGACTTCCGAGAGGTGCTGGGTGTCTGAGACACAAACAGTAGACAGGATCACGACACGTGCAAAAGAACCCAGCTAACACGTACAGCAGGGCCTCCTTGCAGCCCAGCAGCTAAGGCAGCCTAGCTGCTCAGAGGAAAAAACCTCCTGGAATGGGCATGGCCACTGGCTGGCCACCAGCAGGGCCAGAGCGAGGCCGAAGCCAGCAGTTACAGCAGAAAGAGCACTACAGAGATAGAAGCATCCTAGGTTCTAGACTCAGGTCTGTCACTGACTAGCCGTGAGCTTCTCTTGCAGGAAGTCAGTGTTGGGTCAGGGAGGATTCTGTACCGTCAGCGCATGAGCGAGGCCACCAAAGAGAGCAACTTCTAGGGCAAGTGGAAGTATCAAGGGGGGTTGGGGAGGACACTGGCAGGACACTGGCACTCACCTGCACTGTCCCATTGGTGCTGAGCTGGTACACACTCAGGAGCGGCAAACAAATGCTCTGAGTGATGCCAGCGCCAGCCACTGCTGTGGCTCCCTGGGAGGGAGAAACAAAGAATGAGATCAAAGCTGTCCCCGCAGCCGTCCTGCCCCGGGGCAGGTGGCGCTCTTGGGCTGAGAGAACCACAGGCAGTGTTAGAACCCACCCAGCACAAGCAAAGATGCCCCCTCCTGCCCTCGGGCTTGCCTCCTACCTGCTGCGTGCGAGCCAGCGTGAGGAGCAGGTGCAGCGCGGCCTCGGTGAAATGCAGGTTCTGCTTCATGCGAAGGCTCACCTCCAGGGTGGTGAAGAGGGTTGGCAGGATGGGGAGCCTGCGGGTCACCTGCAGCCATGAGTCACCATCCTCATCCACCTCACACAGCTCCTTGGCCAGG